CTAGTGACTAGTGACTGTTCGAAGACCATTTAAATATGCTCACCGAAGATCGTAAGAAAGCCCTACCGAACGGTGCTGTCACTGAACCTGAGACTTGCTTTGGGTTAAAAGATTCCAAAAAAGTGAAATTTAAATGGTGCTGAACTGATTTTAGAGGTTCTTTCTGGAGATTACCCTGATAAATAAAACCAATTATCAACAAAAGACTCATGCAACTTTCTGGTGAGCTTGCTTCGGTAGTCAATGCTCAACTTTTGTGTGTCTTCGATACGATTGTGTTAAAATCAATTCATTCTCGCTGAGCAAACATTTCCAGCAAATCTTTTTATGTCTAATACATGTTTATCTATATACAATATGCATGTATGTATGTACTTTATCCAATATTTATAATACCTTTGCCATATAAATAGTCTAATTTGTATGCATTTATTAAAGTGTTGGATGTCCATGTATGCAAACAGTATATAAATATATGCCACGTAGGGGCATACGATAGGTTAATGGTCCAACACTCTAAGCGCTGCGAAGCCCTTCGGACCTCAACATGGCAAAATGCCGTCCAAATTGCAACCGCAGCATATTCAAAATTTCACAAAGATAAGCTCAATTAATTTAAATTTATTTGCTGTAGCGCAGTCTCACCTCTCCCGCCCCCTTCGGCTCTGCTGGTAGCACACATGCTTACGGGAGGATACATGATTTGTGGACTGTGTGTTACATGTACTGCATGGTACGGAGCTCATTGCATACAAATCCGAAACTCGCAATAGCGAAATATTCTGCAGATACAAAGTGTACACACATCCCTGGTTGCTTGATTTTTTGTCTGCCAGAAAATGTGTGCCACCAGCATAATGGCAAAAGCCATTGATGCCAAGAGCAGACCTGGCCGCAGTGGCCGCAGCAAGTGCAGGATGACAATGGCAGCAAGCGACAACGTGAATGTCAGCCACTGCCAATGATTCGTAGTTATCGGCGGTCTAAAGTGCCTAAGCACTGGCTGCATACGTTGGATGGTGCTATTACAGGCGTTCGATAGGATGCATATGGACACGAGAGAATTTTGGAAGCCTCCGGTAAGCTTCTCCACTCTTGTCTGATTTCTTCAAAATAAATTAATTTCTAATATGTGCTTTAGTGTTGTTGGGAATAATATGAATTTTTGGGGAAATAATTTTGCGCATAAGTTTGTATTATCCCAATCATACTCTGCCTATGGCCATCATATGCAAACCCAACAATCTGTATGAACGCAACGTTAGACGCCCACACATACTCTGCACACTTGTCTGTATGTAAATGGCAATTGAATTTCATATGAAAAGCGCAGCGACTAATGATTTAATACCCTCAGCAGATGGTGTTTCTTATTGCGGGCGATGAGTGTAGCGTTAGGAACCAATAACTGTGTTTGCTGAGAGAACAATGCCGACGCCGTTTGTTTATATAATTTAACAGTTAGATTTCGCTCGTACGAAGTTTTCCGCTCTGTTAAGCAATACTCTCTGAGAAAAGTATATGAGAGCGCAATAATCGAGCACAGGAACATGAGAATTTGAAGAGGTTGAACTTTGTGAAATATAAATTAGGTCGGACTAAAGTGTGTCATACCGCATTGCAACTTTACATAATACTTGCTTGCCGACGATTACGCTCAACACATCGGGCAATTCCAAAGTATGATATTTCTATTATGTTATTTCGATATGAAGTTCTAAAAAATTGGTTAGCGTTTCAGTACAGCCGGCACTAAATGTTTGGATGACGTGCGATTTTCACCTCACTCATATCGAATCCTCCTAAAATTCAAAAAAATTTCCCAAATTCATCGTATTTCAGAGAAAATTATGCCACAGAAAGCCAATTTTATAAATAATACATATTTAATGTTGATTTAAAAATTTGTGTCTTAAGAGTAACATTTTTGGCAGCCGCCGGCAGTTTAACATACAACTGTTGGTTAACAGAATTGAAAGGAAGCAAAGCACATTGTAACTACAGAATGCTCTTTCCTAATAGATTTCCTTATTTGTTTATCACTGTTAATGAATCGTGATTCGAGAGCCATTCCTTTTCAGTTAACAGCATTGGCTGCAATATGGCAATAACGGCGCTGGTGGATGCTGAGGCCGTTTATTATTATCAGTTAACGACGAACAGTTGATGTCCTAGCACGTTGGGCGCGGCAATTTGAATTGCAAAGCAAAGATTAATGCATTACATTATTGGATGGTGATAATATTTATTACCAACTACATATGAATGTGTGTTTGCCCAAACACATGTGTACGTATGTCAATACAATGCAGAGACGTTTCGTAATTCGGTATCGCTCATACGGCACGTTGGACGTGATGGTACGCGGCGCTGTCTGCTCATACGAGAGCATGAAATGTAAATATTGCTGCGAACGCCTCAGTGTGATACCCAATAATTTTAGTCAGTGAAAGTATCATGATGATCACAATTGAACAACCACTTCGAAGGAAGGTGATTGCTTTTTAAAAATCCAACACTTACGTGAATAGTGCTCCACAATCGACGATAAAAGTGCTCTTGTGTTAGTGCGATAATAAATATGTTTAATAACTCGAGAGTATGTAACCGTGATTAATATTTAAACTTAACCGGTTGTGTTGAAAAGTACAATAAAAAAATATATAAGAAGAAAATAGAAATATTAAATTCTATTATGGTTCAATTTAATCCAAATAAAAAATATACAAATTAAACTTAATTAAAATATAACATAATAAAATATAGTAAAATAGCATAAATTAAAACAAAAAAATTTTAATTAAAGTTTATTTTATTTTAATGAGTTTTATTAAATTAATTTAAATACAGTTAAACATGATGAAATAAAAAAAAAACTTGATTACTAGTATTATAAATAAAACAAATTGGTGGAAATAAATAATAATAAAACAAAGTAAAAAAATAGATAAAATTAAATAAAATTACATTAAATTAAATTCGAAAAACTCTATAGCCAACAATAAAATTAAAAATAAAACAAAATAAAATGCAAATAAAAAATTAAATAAAGTAATTAACAAATATAAAATAAAACAAACAAAATTAATTAAAGTAGTAAAAACAAATAAGCAAATAATAAAACATAATGGAGCAAAATTAATTGAAATGAAAAATATAAAAAATAAATAAAACAAATTAAAATAATAAATTATAAATTAAAAAAAAGGTAATTTTAAAAAATATATTAAAATAATATAAAATAATTGAACCTTTTAAAAAAACAGTAAGTTAAAATAAACTGAAATAAAACCATACATATATATGTTAAAAAATTGTTTGAGAAAATTTAATAATTTTTTTTTAAATATTATATAAATTAAATAAGAAGACAAGCGAAACACAGAAAATAACAGCAAATTACTTAACATGAAATTATTCATAATTCCATCAATCACGAGTTCTTTTTGCCGGCAATCCTTTTCGTGTTGGACATTTCCGAAAATGATGTTGTAACGTTGCCTATGCTTGTGTATTTGCGCCTTTGCCGCTTTTGTTCGACATCACAACCATTAGACGACGACCAAGAGCAGAAAAATTATCCTACCACAACACAATACTTCGACTTTTAGACTTTTGGCTGGAGTATTGTGCAATGACCCAACATATACGCGTACATATGTACGTGTATATTTAGCCCTCCTACTAACAATGTGTACAGTGAAAGAGAGCATTGGAACATTTCACTGTGTTTGCACCAAAGAGAAGGACGATTTGCCTCTTCTTCCTCAAAAATTACAAACGACTGAATATGAATTAAATTTTTGAAATTTCTCACACAATTTGAATGGAGTTCGCATCGAATTTCGGCGTTCATTTTATAAATTTTTTGTTTAAATTTTGAAATCGAAATTCATAAACTTGATCTTGCAGTTAATAATTATTTAATGAAATAACTAAAATTTCACGAATTTAATTGAGGCAATTTTTTGATTTAGAACGAGTATATTCGTCGGCATGAGAAAACCTTGGATCTTTTTAGATTCCCTTTCAAATTCAATAATCAATCTACATTATACAAATGTGCATATACATATGTATATATGTCATCAGTATAATGTTCAGTTTAGCTACCCCTTTAAGTACCGAAACTATTAGTTAGACTAGAAGTTTTTGCAGCAACTTGGCAGTTACATTTAATGGAACCCCGTTATTTTCGCATCACATTAACCCACAATAAGTAGATGGCATACTCTACTTCAATTTCAGCCAAACGTCCGTGGGAGTGTCTTTTACGTCGCGCTTGAATAAGCTTCGCGCACATAAATATTATTAGAAAAACAACAACGCCAACCCGAAAACAACAACTGCATAAATACATATGAAATTGGCGTAAAGCGTAGAAGACCATACAAAAGATAATTGAAACGAATAAATGAAATCAAACAGAAATAAAAATTCCAGTTTGTATGTTTGTTGCCTGAGAGGAGCGAAAGAACTGAAGCGAGTGAAAGTGTATAAACGAAAGCAGACTAAAAATAGCAACAACAAATAAATAAAAAAATAAAAGAAATTCGCAGAACATATTTGCAACGCCCTCATAGCGAGACATCAATAAGTGTCTGCACATCTATAGGTTGTGAAGTGTTCAGAAGTGTGTGTGTGTGTGTGTGTGTAGATGTATATCTTTGATATGCTAACTTTGGCACCACCCGATAACTGTCAGTGGAATTTCGAAAACACCAGAGCTAAGCAACAAAGGCAGTGTTAACAGTCGCAACATTTTTGGCAGTAACGGCAGTTTCAACGAGATCAACAACTCACACCAAGACCCACCCTACGAAGCGAGGCACACAAGCCGTTAGCAGTGCTCTATTAAATCACTCAGGCAGTAATTCAGTCAATCGGCTTGTTTGGTTGTAACTGTCAGACAGATGAATGTGTATGTCTGTGTACTAACATATGTACATACATATGGGCAATAAAATTTTAAAGCAGCGAACTGACAAGGATATTAATATGTACACGTATGTAGGTGTGGGCATTTGTTGTACATACGAGTGTATGGAAGTTTCAACGAATTCATTGAATGCCGAATTTGGTGGCAGAAAAAATTAATTGCTCATACCAACGAGATATTTAATGGATTTGAAAAGCATGAACTCCATCATTTGGTTGATTTTGTTTGGTGTTTTGGCAATTGTTCCTGGTAAGTATGCCACTTTTGATTTTCATTGCAATTTATTGAATAATTTCAATTGCCGAGAATTATAGATGTAAAGGCAATTATCATCGCCTATGAAGTGTTACAGAGCCGTTTCTATGGAAGAAGGTTTAAGCAATAGGAAAGGAAGAAAGTAAGAAAGTAAGAAAGGTTCTCAACCCACCCTTGATTGAAGTTTTGCTTTTCTTTTTTTACCATTTCAAATTTTACTTTTAAATTTAACTAAGTTTTTTTCTATCTCCAATGAAAATATATTTAATAATAAAAATTTGCTTTTAATATTAATTTATTGCATTTTTCAAATTATGCGTTAGGAAAAGCTTATTCGATAATTAAAAATTAAATTTTCCATTCCGGTCTGTTTGTTTAGGCACGGTTACTTGGAAATTGTTTAGTTGTTGTTGTTCTATGAAATGCATACGATTATATGTATATAAACATATGTATATATATAACTGCGTAATTAGAGCGACCCTTTGCGCAAAGTATTCTTGTTTACAAGCGGTTTAACGGTGCACAAGAGTGTTTTTAATTATTACACTTTTGGCATGTTTCTAGAAATTTTGTTCAAGTTCGATTCTCTGCACAATTTCCGCTTAACAAATTTTTCTATAAGAGCGTACAGCCGCTGGAGAACGCAGATGGTATAAGGCGACATTAAGATACTTCAGCCAATTGAAGAACAGCGGCCACGTTTGCGAGGTCTTGTCGTCGGTATGAGTGAAAACCCTCCAGATTTGAAAGTAACCATTGGTGAAAGTAAGGAAGGCGAGAGATCTGCTTCATGGGAATGATTTCATGGAGAGTTAACTGGTTTCATTTCTTTTCACCAATCGTCGCCAAATAGCGAAGGAAGAATTTAATGCCGTGATATGGTTAATGCGGCTGCAATAGCTTAACCGCCCCAGCCAGATGATAAACGATCGAGCTCTGAATGGTGAAAGCCTAAGCGGAATTTTTGGCGTAGTTTTGAGGAGGAAACTGTGTATGTGAGTATTTAAAGGCCTACATCGCCTTCTATGCATGTGGTTAAAGGAAGCTCTAGAATCTGTCAGTTGTGTTTGGATGGTCGCGATGGATAAGGCATTAATAAAAAGTGGCCTTCAATGTATTTTGAGTACTCTGGACGCCAACGACCCTACGTCCAAGTGAAGTAACCAACGAGTAATCGAAAAACCTGCCTTTCACGACAGAAAATACTAGCTCAGCTCTGCAGTGTTAGGCAGGCAGCGATGGCAATGCTTGGCTCGCTAACAATGAATTCAAAAACTGAGCCGGACTGTCACCTACTTTTCCCACAAGGACCTGCCGAGCACGATCAATTAGATTCTTTACGATAAGAGTATGAATTGGAAGGTATACATTTTCCACATACAAACTGGCACTCAAGGTATTTAGTTGGCCGAAAAGGGATCAGATGGGGTCACGGGAAAAACAGGGGCTTAAATAGTAGGAACCTTGGCCTGGCAGTGCTGGATAGATTGACTTGCAGAAAGGCTGGGAACTCTTTTTAGATGGTGTTACAGTAGCTAAGTAAGAACGATGAGGTGGAAGAACCGATTCATATTTTGTGTGACTTTTCTTCTTAGAGAATAGCCACCCTAATATAACTCACTTGTAAAAGATAGCAGACTTCGAAGCAAATAACTTATTTAGATTTATGAGAGATGCAAAGTAGATGACCGGTGAACTGGGTATGTTGGAGCTCCCACCTAACTACTGACTCACATCTGGTTCACCTGGTACTTCGAACCAAAGTTACAAGGAACTAGTAAGCAAAACTAATTAGACTTATCGTCTGCCTTTGTTAACAGCAAACTGAAATTCAAACGACAACGTCTACCAACGACATTTCCACCGATAGACAACACAACAGCAAGAGCAGTCTGTTGAGAGTCATGGCAACCACAACAACACTTGTCCAACGACCCAAGCACTGAAGAAAATTCGATTAACTATTGTCAAGGTCAGTTGAATAGGACAACAAATGGTTAAGGGGAAAGCAATTTTACGCTGTACATACAATTGTGGAATAATACTTGAACAGTTTTTGAAAACTTCTCAGCGGAAACGTGAAGTGAGCTCACTGGTAAACGTGTAACGGTAAGCGAATGTAAAATGTGCGCGTAATTCAAACTTTTTGCTGCGGAAAATTGCGTTAAAAACGCAAAACTTTATTTAAAGCTCCCCGCCCGAGCTGCAGCCCTTTTCGCCGCTCCAACTCCCAATCGCCACGGCTCAGCCGAGGCAGCTCCTTTGCGTATCGCCACGTTCTGCTTGAGTTGACTTGGCTTGGCTTGGCTTCACTCAACTTGCGGGCAATGCAAAACATTCAAGTGCTCGTTGCCGAACTCATATAAAAGTGGTAACTGAAACAACAATATTAACAACATTGTAAATATTGCTCCGATATAGATGAAATTGTACGAAAATTGTAAGAGCTCTTGCGGAATGCGCTACAAATAAATAATTTTCAAAGAGCTTCAACTGATTAAGCCGACTTGATTACCAACCACGCTTCACGCCACTTTGAACTTTGACCAAATAATACAAAATGAAACTCCGAGCGGAAAATACCACCAAGACTTCAACTCAACAGTAGTACAGATATATGTATGTACGTGTATGTGTGTATGTACTTGTACACGAATATTTATTTTAATAGCATTGAAAAATTGAGAACTATAATACGAGCGTATGGCGTTTCATTAAGCGCAGGGTTGGATTATGTGGGTTAAGGTCGGCTTAAGCTCAAATAGCGCACACATATGTATGTAGATGTGTCGATTCATAGTGGCGAAGGCGTTTGTTGCTGCAGAAAGACAAACTGTTTGAAACACGTACATAAGTACAAAGCTCAAAAAAATAGTGAAAACGTCGGAAGCTTCATTAAAATTCATACATTGTAATGCCAAAAATGAAATTATTTATCCGCCGTTGAGATAGATTTCCTCGTCTTGCGTTTGCTTCCTTCTTATTGCCGAACGAAAGACAAGGTTGATATTCAACTATTCGCCGAAGTTTTTCTCTAGCAAGAAGTGCAGAGCTTTTTAAAACAATGGCAAATAATAATCCCACACAGGGAGGCAAGCAGAAAGAAATAGATGAGTGAGTCACATTTGATTTCATTTAATTTTTTGCATTTTACATGCAAGACTCTTACGCCTTATGTGCGCCAAGTTCTAAGTAAACAGCAAATTTATTATTGCTTAGAAATAAATATTTTATACTGCTTCCATGTGCGTGATATAATATATCTTTAGTCCGAAGTATGCTAGCACCCGAAGGAGAAGATGTATGTAGACCCATCAAAATCTATACCGATCGGACCTGGACGATGAGCTAAATCAGTCCTCCCCGTCTGTGTTGCTTGTGTTTGTAGATGAGCTCTTACGTCTTAATCATCATTTGTTGGTACCGGCCAGCACGGATCGCGAAAATATATAGCTCCCATGCCACCGATCTGTTCTCACATGAGATTCTCGGGACATAAATGCATATCAAACATGTAATTTGAAACTCTACTCGAAATTGATTAACTGAGTATTGGCAAAAAAAATTATTGAAATCGGAGGACTATAACAAACAGCCGATCTCTTGATCTTTAAATTTGATATTGTCATGAAAGATATAAAGACTTTGACATTATCGAAGGCTGCAGAGATTAGGATTCGATGGTTCTGAAACCTAAATAGAAGGAGTTAAGATAAGGCAGAGTTCTTCTTGTCTGAGGACTAGTCTCTAAATAACCAGAAATTGCAGGTGGGGCTCGGCTGAAAATCTCTTCAGTGGTTACAAAGCGCCAATTACAATTACATATACATATGGGTCACCACAGTATATGCGCAACGTAAACATTCCTTGGGCTAACATATGACCCTCCGCAATAAGCCCAAAACGCCTGAAGAGCATAAGCAAACCAGGCCATTCCTGCTATTTGCCTATTATATTTTAATACAGTAATAAGATTTTATTACTTATTGTCAGGCCACAATTTTAATAGAATAAGAAATATATATGTATATATCTATTGAAACGCAGTCGAACTATATATATGTTTTTGGTGGGTATGAGATCACCGACCGATGAACATTTTGCCCGATTTGATCCCGTGTGAATCGCGCATGTGTGTAGCTACTCATACGGTCATGAGGGATATGTTCAAAGAGCTGTCAGTATTTGAAATACTTTGCACGATCGGAACGATTTTTTTGTCAAATCGGCAATTCGGTTGTATAGCCAGACGTCGGAGAACCCTTGGCCACGTGATCGGGTCGAGATCGATGTGCTGAGGCAACGCGTTTCGTGAAAAATACGCGGTGTCAGCTGTTGAAAGAAAAAAGCTCCGCTTCAAATGTTGAGATCCTAAAAATGCTGACAAATTTTTTGCTATACTACAGTGCCAGACAACACACGTTCAGTGCCAGAAGTGTGAATGAGGCGATAAAAGAAGTGGTGGCGAAGTGGAGTAGGTGGGGTAGGCGATGAACTCCTTGCAGGAGTGCATCACAAAATTGATACCCCGCTTCATCACTGACATTGAGACGCATGACGACTATTTCAAAAAATAGCTTACATTCTGTACTAAGGTTCTCGTAATTTCTTTGTTTAGATACACCTTTCAAAAATGCTTGCTTTCTTACCTACTTACCGAAGGCAGATTTACAGCGAATTGAAAAATAAATATGACTTTTCCAAATAGTTTGGTTCCGTATTCACTTCCATAATGAAAATGTCTTCACATTACTCTTACCAATGAATCACCTACATACATACTCGTATGCTCCACAGATGAAGCAGATACAAACCATATATACTATGTATGTTTTCGAAGCAAGCTGAGACCCGCTTCTCGAAACAAAAAGTGTCCTAGATGTTAATTTAAGCCAGCCGTGTACATATTTTTTTTAAATCGACTCTATTTCCACATATACCTAACCTTAAGGGTGAGTTTAAGACCTACAAATCAGAATTAAGAAATTAATTGACGTTTAATTGTGATGCGGTTTCACTGTTATTTATTGTAATTAAAAATAAACTTGGCGGTAATTTGGTCGAAATTTCAATCTCGAGAAGTCAAAGTCCTCATGGGTTATGAGATTTATCAGATGAGATTTGAGGTGGAATTCAATGTAACGATGAACTAGTATTTAACCAGAATGAGGCTAATGCATGTCAGACTATCTCATTCGGCAACACGTGAGAGTCCCTCAGATGTTGAGGGAAAATGAAATTGCTTAAGTTATGGTCATATTTACTACAGGTAACATGCAGCTCATTATCATTTCTGTCTTTGTGGGCATACACGTGGTCTTCGGTTCATTTTTTCCGTACTCTACTGCCAAATCACCGTAAACTGCGTAATAATTATTAAGAGCGGCGTCGTACTCGTGTAATCATCGATGATGCCAATGCACAGATAACCAGTATGGTCAGCAATACTCGCACTTTCACGTAGTAGTCGAAGTGCACATAAAGTTCAACACTCAACACGGTGAAATCGCTAGCAAAAACTAGCGCACAAGCACAGGAGAATACAGCAACAATCTAAATTTATTCATCTAACTACTTGTAATAAACACCAGTAATAACATTATCTCCAGTTCAGTATATTTCCACCAACCAAAACTTTTTCATTACTCTCGTGCATAGCCTTATTGGACTACAACACTGTTGCTTGTGTATACACGAATAATGAAGAGGGTGGTTTTTTAGACAAGTGGTTTTCAATGAGGCAGTACTTTTTTCGGTCTCGGCTTTTTTGGCAGCTTTTACTTGATTAACATTCAGTTCGGTTTGAAAATTCATAATGTACAGACTCACTTCTTGCAAGTCGTGCTAATTTATTAAAAAAATTTAGTTCCATTCACTCGATGCATGATGTGCTGCGTCTACTAAATATTCGATCGTCGTAGCCGCACAGCAGAGTCGGCAATGTGAATTTCCATGGATTGTCTTCATATCAAGACCCGAATGGGTCCATCCGCCATTGTGGGCACACAACAATTGGAGCGGTGTCCATTCACTCTATGGAAGATTTTGCCGAAGGATCTTGGTTTGCGGGCAAACGAAATCCAAATTCTTGGCCTTAACATTAAATCATATACGTTTTATTTCTTCTTGAAAACCAGATGTCTTAGGAAACCCCCCTTAAGAAATTTTGGTTTGCATAAACACTTCTCCAGTAAAACCCGTGTTTCGTCCTCTTCAATGCTATTTGTCTCCCTAATTTTAATTATATTTTTATTATTATTATTTCCTATTCAATTTGGTACTAAATGACATAATATATATACATATACATATATAGTTTTCCTTGCCTACTTAAAAAGAGAAAATGAATTGTGTTTCGGCATTTATATGCCGGCATAAAATCGCTAATTCATTCAATCCGGTCGCTTGAATCACTAACTATGTATATACATATTTACAAACGTACAAACGTACATTTGTATGCTAGATATAAATTTGTATATCTGAAGTGGAGTTTCCCTGCTTAAAGTCGGTCTTTAGGACTCTCCCATTAATATTGAGTAAAAGACTACGAAATTCAGTTTAATATTCTTTGGCATCCCTTGATTATGAGATTATGCCCAAAAAGAAGAAAATGTGAAGTAAACATAAATTAAGCCAGTTCTTCGTATGTAAAAAGTGCTTTTTAATGAAAAAAAGAAAAAAAGAAAAACATTTGTCAAAGTCTTTTCCGTTGAAAGCGTCAATTTGGAGAAAGGTCTGGAGAATACAGTGCGTTTGGTCAGGCCTCCATTTCAGCGCTTCAATGAAGTATTTGACCGTTACAACCACATATAGCCGAGCGTTGTCACGTTCCAAGACCACTTTGTAATGCCTTTCGGTCCTATCCGGCCATTTTCAATACGCTTTACGGCTTAAACGCGTCAGTTGTTTATACTACATCACATCCGTCTGGTCTTACTTTTAAAGCATCGAAACTGCTCTCTGCAGAGATTCTTAGGAGGCTAATGCACACTACTTATTCTTGAGTGGTAATACCTTCCAAGATCGACCACATCTTGAGAGCGTACAAACTAATTGTACCGCCAACATGATCATACTCAAAGAGTATCATATTACGAACGCTGCCTTAAGAGCATAGCGAATTTTATTTCGCCTAAAAACTCTACTCTCATATCGGTCATCCACCCAGGAAACGCTTTTGCAAAACTTCAACACAACGTTCCTTTTTTATTTCATAGTGAGATCGACTTCCCGCCAGCTATGTCCAGGTCCCGTTTTTTCTACCGCTATAATAATTTTATAAGCTCTGGCTGTGGATTCTGCTTTCTTCATATAAGACAAAGGAGCAAAGCGAAGGCTCTGATAGTAAATATCATCAAACAAACAGTCGGAGCACTCGCATTTTCGTTTTCATCCGATGTACACATCCTCACTAGGGGTTTTCGAAAGAAAGAGGGGCGAAAGATAAGGGTTCTTATGGAAGAAAATACGCCAGCTTGGAAAGTTCTCGTTGCAGTACTAATTGTTGGAAGCAGAGGAAGAGGAAGATTTATTCTCGGCGAAATATCTCGTTTCACTTTTTTTAACTTCCAAACAGCGGGAAATCGGTGTCTAGGGAGATATTCATTTCTTAAAAAGAGACGGTTTATACACCTATCCATATTCACTGTTCGTCCACACTTTTGAAATCTATTATTAGCCTCTCCCTCCATCCAATATTATTTTTTTATTCTGTTCGGATTTGACGTTATTAATGATGCGCACTTCTTTCTTTTTCCCTTGAGAATGATTCTTCTTGTTACGGACTTATTGTAGTTTCGCTTAATACAGTGCGTATGTCGATGTGTTCCTCCAAACCATCATCATATGCCATCATCCAATGGGTGGTCTTCTAGAGCTGTCCAGAACTGGTTTTTGCAGAGGAAAATTGTCCCGATTTGTCCAAGTCTGTAGAACAGAGAATAGTATCTTTTGTTTATTCTTCTATTTCTTGTTTCGTTTTTAAAATCAAGTTTTCCAGACTCTTCCCTAAGATCCTAAGCTTTTGGCCGTTATGCTGCTATGGCTGGTTAAAAGAGCTGAGGAGTTCTTTTTTGTTGTATATGTATGTACACATTTGTTTATTTATGAGTTAATTTTCATTTGGTTGAATTGAAGGAATGATTATTATTTTGCCATAAAATTAGTTTAACTGCACCTCTTTATCTCTCAACATTAAACCGAAGAGAAGAATTTTGGAAATTCCAAACGTTCTTTCAGCTGCCCTACTTACATACATACATACGTGTCTGTATATACTTCACGCGATGAGAATGCCTACGTTGCAGGACAGGTGTTTGGAGTAAAGAGAGACTCACTTAATTCTATCCATTCAATTGCCTCAAGGGAAGGACTACAATTAATTTATATTCACTTTTATCTTGTCACAGGTTCGACATTAAATGCTACCAAAAGGACGACAGTGACGGCAACGAAAGCCGAGGTGGAGGCGAGTGCGAGCCCAATACCAACAATAATTACACCAGAAGCCAAGACTGACGCCTTGATAAGGAATTCAATGGTTGAAAAAAATTCCATGACACTCACCCCACAGGAAGTCACGATGGACTTCAAAACTCATTCAATTAGTCCGCCACTAGCGGGGAAAGAGAGTGTAGAGGCTGATGCTAGAGCTAAGTCATCAATAACATCGTCAACAAAAGACCAACGAATGAAAGACGAACTCTACGCAAAAACCGTGCAGGGAGAGTTGGCTAAGACGTTTTGGACGGCGATGGACACAGATGACTACGTGTTTGGTGCTGACTTTTCTACTGTAGCAATAACAAAAACAACTGAAAGGACAAAGCAGAGTGATATTCCAGAAGCCAAAGTGACAAGAACAGCAGCAGCCAAAGCATTCAGTGGAGGTTCATCGCAATCACTAACAAAAGTTGATGTGACAACAAAGCAAATAAAAGCGTCCTTAAATCGTACTGAGGCGTTAGCTGCTCAGAGGGTTGGTTGGAAAGTTGCAAGTGAGAAGGACAAACGACGAATTGATTCAATGGTCACCAAGTCAACAGCAGCAGTGACACCGAAAGCTATAATGAATTCGAATAATACAACAACAACACCAGAAGAAACTGAATCGACCTTGGTGTCAGCGAGTAGTGAGGAGACAACAACAGACGCGCTGCCAGTAGCAGCTGGCCAACCAAAGCCTGTTACAGCATTGCTTCCGCTCACTACGCCGAGCGGCGAATTCACGCAGCAAAATTATGAAAATATCGCCGATGGCAAACGCGCCCACAGAGCACAAATCTTCAGCAATAACAAATCCAATTACAATTATGACTACAACCAAACACAATTTGAATACCAACAAGGTAATAATAACAACAACAGCAACGACAACAATGCGGATGTCGAAGATGACGCCCAACATATTAGTAGCGGATATCAACAGCGACGGCAGCCAAAGCTGCCCTTGCGGCGGCCTAAAGTTGACAAATATATCAGTGACAACAAAGCCAGCAAGGACGACAACAACTATTCATACACATACAACAGCAACAACAATTACTATAATAGCCAGCAAAATGCCGTTAGCAGTATGTTGGTTATGCAGCAGCACGAATTGCCGCCACGGAAAATACGCCAACAGCACGCGCGTCAGGTGCAACAAGAACAACAACAACATGCAATAACACCACCGATATCAACATCGACTGCGGCGACTATCCTTACAGCTATGGAAAGTAATTTGATTAGCAACGATATGCAGTCGAAACAGAATGAGGATAATTTCAACAAATCAGCAACAACAACAGCAAAGAATAAAACAATAAGTCCACAGCAAGCGTCCGGTATAGACAACATTCTGTTTACTCTTAAGCCAACAACTTCCTGGTCCGAGCAAATAGAGGATGCTGTGCAGAGCGTCGGTGAGCGTGAGGCTATAAATGTCACCACTACGACCGCTTCGCCATTTCCCACAGTCTCAACAACAACACTGAAGTCAACCACTAGACGACCAACTCCAACAACCACGCCAAGGCCGACGCCTTCGATCGACGACTATCAAACGGTGATCAGTCAGGCGGGCACACACGCCTATCTGCCATGCAATGTAAGTTATTATTCAAGTCATGTTTGTTGGACTGATGGAGATTTCTGATTCGGTGGCGATTAGAGCGCTTTTCTAGTGTAATAGATAAAAATTTCCCCTCAATGAACCAATCAGTGTTGATCAGTAGAAACGAAAGAGCCAACGAATAAAAATTGTTCACAAAATCTCGTCGGTGAACGAAACTCCGTTCGATACTCGAAGACAATTTCGACCCTGAAATTCCATGCAGCTCATAGCCAAAGATCGAGAATATCCTACTAATACGTCTATACTTCTCCAATGAAAGGCCTTCCAGTGAACGCTAATTACTGGTTGATATGCACATAGTTTAACTTTCACGGCCATGGTAGGAGATTTGCGCCGAACAATATCCCGAATGTTTGAAAATTTATTTTGCCAATTACGGTGTCCCACCCGCTGGGAAAGTCAAGCCCTCCGAGTTTATTTCCGATTCTTTCATAAAGAATCCATCGGCGGTCATCAGGCGATCAGAGGTCACTTATAATGAGCAGTTGGTCCCACCATTTGTTGAAAAATCATCAACATACAAATAGGAAGAGGAGCTTGGCTGAATATCCCCATTTATATATTATCCAACTTGGTTTCAGACCAAATGCTGCAGCTCAAGTGAGGATGGTGCTAAATCTGTGTGCCATGTTCCTCTCTACCTGGTTTATTCAAAGGATAATACTTCTCTTTCGTTCGTCTAGAGGTGATTTTACTTTTCCGTCCTGAATTGACAAGAGTGATTGGCTGTGATTGCTGTTGGAGTTTCTGCTGATCCCAAGATACACGAAATTGTGTATTGACTTTGTTTGAAGGAAGCAGATACATATTTTGTCTCGTCCTCTTTCATATTCTATCTCTTATCTAGTTTGGAAAAATCAACTAACGGTGCAATTACAGCAGAGAAAATTGTACAATCTTTGTTTAGATCTGCAGTCCGCATTACTTTTTCAAGCAAAGGGTTGAATAAGTCACACTTTCCGGTTACTGGCGGAGCTCTTGGTGACTCTCAGCGACAGTTTACACGGTCGCATAAGTTTTCGAGCTGTCAAAGGCCGTTTCAACTGTTCTTAAAGGTTGCGCAGGCTGAGTGGCCACACTTTTTTGGAACAAATTTCTTTAGGATTCTCATAATTTATCTTCCATAGCAATATGAAATCTGTTTCTACCAGAAAATAGATAAATGTAAAAATAACTCTCTAGACCGCATTTTCGGTGAGCCATTCGATGCTTTTTTTCCAAAAAAGGGACCTTCAGTATTTTCTAAGCCGTCCCCGGTAGGCAAAGAGGCGACAGCATTTGGAAGAAATGTATTCCGTAATTATGATGTTGGTCCGGCCTGAGTTCTCATCCATAACCCTCCGCATGGTAGTATGCACTACTAACCACTCGGCTAATTCGACTGCTTATCTGTGCGTATGAACTACGAGACTCGATTATGCTCATACTCGTAAATATGTATGTACATACATGCCGTATGCATAACTGTATACTAAAAGTACGTATTTCATTTAATATTCATTCCTTTATAATGGAAAAGTTTTGAAGATTTGTTTTATTTACGAGTAAATACAAATCCAGAAAATCTGGCAGATTCAACCACAATGCAACTGGGGAAAACATATAAACCACTATTCCCCAGAAACATATTCAACCAACAAAGAACACATGTTTGCTCTATATACATACATACAAACACGTACATACTCGTATACTAATTTCTATGCTATTGCAGCAAGAAGTTGGAATTGCGATTGTTTTTCCATAATTCTTTATCCTTCATAAATTCTTATATTTATGCACACACATATGCACACACGTAAAGTAGGGTTATTGCTGAAAACCACTCACTGGGCGCGCCAAGCCTGCTCCGCTGCTCTGAGCAGTGAAAGAAACTACGAGTAGCAAGCGCAAGAAGCAATGCAGAATGATGGACTGTTGAAGGTTGAAGTAAATCCGCCTGCCAGCCTTTGCTGCAGATCTTTTCACCCAAGTGTAGCAGCGTTCGTTTGTGTGGTTGCACGGTTGGTTTCCAGTCTCAGTCGGTGTATTTACAGTTTCAATTTCCCTGGCAGCAGTCTGCCCTAACCTACTGCCGGAACAAAGAAAACCGACTGCCCAACTCGAACTGCGCAGCACACAAGTTTGTATGTACCCACAAACTTGCAACGGGTAAGTTGTGCAAATACATACATACATACATGCACATATGCATATATGCATACCAGCATACATTGTATGTATGTATATGGGTTTTCTGATGTGCAGCATTTCATGCTCGTATGAAGAAAAATATTTTTGTTGGAATTTCGTTTTGCGGTATGCTTTGATGCACAGATGCAGTGCCCAGCTGCCAATTCACTGCACTTTTGGAGAATCGCTGCAACATCGTGACCGCCATTCAACAGCCATTTCAGGCATGTAGATTATTAAACAATGCCTTTTTTGTCCTTTTTTATGCTCAACAGTCAGTGTGTGTCGGTAACCGCTTTGACGGTTGCTCATTTAAATTCTGATTCGCGCTGCTTGCTCTTTTAATTATAATTCATGGCTTTGCGTTAAAAAGGCTAATTTTATTAGTGCGAGTGGCGGCCTTTGGGCCAAGAGTGAAAAGTTTAGGCGAAGTAATTAAACTCTTGTACCATTCGCTCTTCAACTTGCTGAATAAACCGATTTCTATTTGATATGTTTGTATGCAGTGGTATTAGGGCGTCCGGTGTCCTTTTTCTTTTGGTAAGCGGTGTTTCAGAGGCTTCCTCTCTTTTAGCCGTCAGCTGAGGCTCCACAAGGGTTGGTTACGGCAATGATGATACTTCGTTTAAAACTGGAGGTTGTTGACTGATAGAACCATGAAAGAATCATTTCTGGCCACAAAACAAAAAATTGCAGGGAGAAGTGCTTTCTTCGGGCACGACAAAGCTTTGCAGGTTTTTAATTTTTCTTGACCGATCGGGCCAGTTAAGACAAATCAGCAAATTTAGATGACATCCCATAGGGAAGCAAAGCTTGTGAAATAAGGCTCGCCCTAATGAATGATAAGAAACACATGAGCGTTAGAATGAGTTGATAAAAGTGACAAAAATCGGTTTTTGTTAGTAGCTTACATGTGTACATAAGCTTAAGAGACTTCCTTCGATATGGTTTCATAAAACCACTACAATTGATATGTATGTATGGCCTATGTACATACGTGTATGTTTCATTTCTATTTCTATTGCGCTGGGAATCGCAGTGTTGGTGTTCTTAGTTTAGGCAAAATTTAATATTATCGTGACAGAAATCAAGCTTGAGCCGCGTCCGTTGGCTGTTTCCGCTTTATTTTCATAATCATAACGCATTCCAATTAAAACTTTCGCCAACAGTTTAGCACTAGTGGTCCAAAAAACATAAGAATAAATAATAAGCTTGTTGATTGGCGATGATATGAAGCAAGCGCTGGAGTCGGTGGTGTCGGGGGTGTACGCAAGTATGCCAGCAAGAGCGGCGTTTTGAGGATGAAAATATTATCTTAATTACCACGCAATATTCATGCTCTGAGCCGCACACTCGGGAATGGAGAGGCAACTCTGATTTATTTGCGTGTTTCCAGCTCAGAGAGGCAGCCGCTTTTTGGTCCATTTCGCCAACATCTTGCGTTTTATAGTGTTTGCAATGCAAAATGAATTTCCAACAGCGAAAACTTTGAATTTCATTTGCACATTCACTTTCACTTGACTCGAACAGCATTGAATGTGTGTGGGTAGCGCAAGGAGAATTGATTATGAGTGTGGAATCAAGTTGTGAGTTAAGTAAATAAGAAAATGTTTAATCGGAAATTGCTTAATTGGTTGAGGCGGCGTTTACTAACGTTTGGCCGGGTGTAATCATAACATCCCTGAGCAGAATTGGAACTAAATTTTATTCGAGACCAATTGCTTTCCATACTGTGCCTCTAGTTGGAGCAACGTAGCTGTTTTTTCTTAAATTAAGGAAGTCGTTTTGGCCAATGCTGGAACCTCACAGTTTACCTGATCTACTCTCTCCATACCTTGCTACATTTCCTACACTTGTTATGCCCATCATCAGACCTATACCCCAACCTCAACTTACATAAGGGAGTGTTTTAAGGAGAACATGTTGAGTCCCTTGAGATACTGATAAAAGCGCACTTTCCTGGGAGTCAACAAACTACGGTAATGTAATCTTATTGTAAGCACATAAGACCTACAAGGGCAGTTTCCAATTCTCTTACATCCAAAAAAGCTGGAAGTGAGCCAAAATAGTGCTCTTACCAAAACCGGGAAGAATAACATATGATATTGCTGAAGACTTACGACCTATATTTCATTTCATCGTGATTTCCTTCATGTTGAAGGTTCTAGAAAAGCTATTGGATATACAAATTGGATCCACCATAGCAGATACCATAACGACGGACCAACACGCCTTCATCAAAGTTCGATCAACGGAAACTGTCCTAAATTAGGTGAAAATTTTAATTGAAAACACACAACGGCGGCTTTTCCAGGCATAGAATGAGCCTTTAACCATACAAAGTTAAGTAGAATCATTAATTCCCTGTCAGATGGAGAAAGTCAATGCTTATGAACAGAATGATTATAGCTAAATACCTGTGGATGAAGATCGATAATTGAATAAGGCAAGCAAGAACTGGGGTCTTACACTGCATGTAGTCATGTCAATGTATTTAGCTGTCATTAGACTAATTCTATTCCATAATTTTGGCAGCATTACAAAAACAATATGATAACAAAAAATATTATGGAATACAGAGGGTAATGGCACATCTAGCATTGATTGAGTCCAGACGATGACTCTACACAACAATACTGATTCCCAAAAAAACTGTGACCCAAAAGTGTAGTTTAGTTGAACTTCTCACCCAATGTCATATAATATCCATAACTATTTATGTTTATTTATTGATTTGTATGTCTGCCACCATCATCGTATTCTCTACAAGTCGAAACACTGAAGCACTAACACCCTTTGATCACCCTGCAGTAAGCAACCAGGGTAGTAAGTGAAAATATGAGTCCTACACATTATTTTCAGATACGCCTCTTGTAGTGCTCCGTAATTCCAGGTCACTGTCTGGGCAAACCCCTTGATGTGTTGGAAAATAGTGGTAGATGAATTTATTTTCTAAACAAATGCAAAAATTAGAATTCTAGTTCGAGTTAACCACCGATATTCATCCCCAAAGTGGTAGTCATTTGCTCGTATATGTATGTACTTCACCTCACATGACAAATGCTTGGCATATTTCAGCGCAATGAATTTTGCTTCTAAATTATTATTGCCATTATTGACAGCAATGAATTGCTATTTGGCCGGTGTTGACCGGACGGCGCGTGGTGTCACTACGTGAGCTCATGAACTTAATGCAGCATTTTGCCACGGCAATGGCTGGTGTAGGGCGTCTGATGTTTAGTGGACATCTGTTTGACATGAGATAAATCTATGGCAGTGAGTTTGAGGTTGAAAATTACTCAGAATTTATAACGGTGAAATCTCATTTACAAAGCTGGGCGAAAAAAAATAAAAATATCTCTGAAAAAGCAACTGTTAAATATTATAAAAACTACATTACACATGATGGCAAATCATTCTTAGAGCTCTCGTGAGCCCAGTCAAGCGGGAAAATTTTAGAACAGAAAATTTCTAACAGGCAGTAGTTGGTTTATTTGATAACGAAATTAATTTGTCTTAAAACCCACGTTTCAGTTATGCCTCAAAAACAAAATTGGAACAATCAATCTGACTTCAGATCCCGGAAAGTTAGTCATAATATTTTTTGCAATGAAAATATAGAATTTTTGAGGTTATTGCCGTAGATACTACATATGAATTATAATATTCATTCTCCTTTATTATTTTGTAGGTGAAGCAGCTGGTAAAAAAGCCGATTTCCTGGCTGCGGGTGCGCGATGAGCACATTTTGACAGTCGATCAGACCACCTTCATTGCTGATCAGCGCTTCCAAGCGATATTTGCACCGAATCCAGAACGATGGTCACTTCAAATCAAATACGTTCAGCTAAAGGACGAGGGCACTTACGAATGTCAGGTGTCCACTGAGCCGAAATCAAGTGCCATTGTCACACTACGAGTTGTGGGTGAGTCACTGTGATGAGAAAATATTTTCTTCCATTTTTTTTTTTTTACTTTTCATTACAGTTGATATATTTTATGGTGTAATAGTTCCATATAAAGAATATTATAATTATGCAAACATATACATATACTAGGTTTGGTTGGTTGAAAGGTGAGATCGGGCACCTCACACGGGCAGCCCCACTCAAATGAGTGGGCTGAGTATGGGTTCAAGTTTACAACTACAAAGTGTTACTGTCCAGCCATTTCGATTGGATAAATTCTTTTTAATTTGTAATTTGCTTCTACCTTTGTCATCTCGATTCCAGACAGTGCTTAGTACTCCTTAGAGGTTCACTGCTTTAGATATTTAGAAGAAGCTCGTTTCGCATTAGGCCTATCAGTGCAGAGCTATATATACTCACTGCATAAGTGCCGGTCTCTGAGCAATTTCCGTCCTTTTGAGGTGGGGAGCACCTGGAAATTTAGTGACGAATAAATACTTCCTCAACATGACGAGTCCGCATACGGAACTTCTACAGATTTTACGGTCAAATTTTACGCATTTATATTTTTATGTGTGTACGAGTAGATGCACATTTACATCTGTGGGCACAAATCGAAATACATACATATTCGTATATTATTGAACTATGAGTAAATATTGTTGTTCATTATCCTAATTTCCGTTTAACTGTCCTTTATCTTCCGCAAACACTCCTCAACGCTCGGAATCAAATTGAATTTCACACGTACATACTGATAAATATCAAAAACATATCACAAAACTTCCGCTGCATATGCAAACAACCAAAATTATTTTGTATGCAAATATTTGCTCACACATATACATACACAAACGTATCCATATACAACTGCGAGATGCGTTTAACGGTTCGGTGCACCTGAATGTGTGCTTTCGCCAACGCACCCCACTGCTCATCGCCTTGGTCCTTGTTTACCTTTTGCTGTTCGTTGACGCAGAACCGAAAACGGAATTGATTGGAGAGCCAACACGGCACGTCAAGGCGGGCAGTCAAGTGAAGCTGCGTTGCATAATTAGCCAGGCGCTGGACCCGCCACTTTTTATTAATTGGTTCCACAATCAGAAGCAGATTTATTTGCACAGCCGTAGAGGGTGGCGCACGGAAATCGAACGCATCGAGTTGCCGATAACCGATGCGCCAACAACTACTACAACAACAGTAGCGTTAATAAAAACAACTACATCTACATACACAACGACGATGACAAATTTATCAACAACAGCCGAAAGTGCGACTACAACAAAAGCTGATACCGCCGCAGATGGCGCTGCTCCTTCGCCATCTCCTGTAACGCCAGCAACAAAGCCAACAACAACGACAACAACAGCAGCAATAAAGGCCACACTCCTAGCGGAAAGGCAGGTTGACAGCTCGAGCGACAGAGAGAGTGGAGACTCAGAGTCGGCATCAGCGATGCCTACGGTCAGTTCGCTTCCGTATGGACGAGCAGTGGGCGTCGCCGATACCTATGGTTTTGGCACTGGCAATGCTACTTCATCACTGCTGGCAGACGTGGCGGCGGCAGTGGTCACAATGTCAACAGCGCTGCCCTCCATAACAAAGGCGATATATTGGCCGACAACAACAATAACTAAAACAACAATGAGTACAACATTAGCTGCAGTGGAAGTGAGGCAAATAACGGTAAGTTGTTGAAGAAAGTAAAATCCTTTAAATCATAAAGTTTACCTTCGATTCATAGACTTTTATAGAAATAATTGAGTGAACTTTGGAATTAGACTTTGTGCATGTGCATTCCCATGGGTGCGAATAGTTAGCCGCATTAAACATAAAATTCGAAATAATATACACACTACCTCCATTATGTGCTTCACCAATATCTTTTCAACATAAATTCCAAACAGGGACGAATGGGAAACCCCAAATGCTCTCGATCAGGGATGGACTGAGGCATCAACTATTCGATGTTCTCAATAAATATAAACATGACACTACCAGACCACCGCAGCGCCTTCACAGCAGAGCTCTCTGCAATTATGGAAGCCGTCGAGTCGCTGCTTAAATCTCAGGTAGCAGAATATCTGCAGTGTAACAATACCACATCAGTGGTTATGAGCTGTATTTAGAAGTAGACTGAATAAACTCCCGAATAAACCCAAGTTCTGAGTGCCCAGATGCGGGATGGCCTATACAATTGTAAATTAGACGAGCGAGCGAGAGAAGGAACTCTTCTATCTACAATAAACCATGACTACAATGTAGGTGTACCTTTGACCACGGCAAAGTGGAGGGGGAGAAGAGGTAGAGTGTATTGAAGACTATTTCTGTCATGTGCTTTTATAAGCTACACGAAATGGTTCGAACATTTGAGAAGCCGAATCAAGAGGCCTAAAGGCGGCCTGAGTGCGTTGGTCACCCACTGAAGTCCATTTAGCCTTTTCATTACTGCAAATCTTTCCTTAACAGGAAGACCAGCAATACCAATGGTTTTTCTGGTTGTATAGTTACTTTAGGTATTCTCCCCTAATTGTTCATTAGGGCGCTACAGGCATTTATTATGTCTAATGTTTCCGATTGATTTGGTCAAAGCAATTAAGGCGGTTTATCAGAGTTCTTGGAGCAGATGAATTTTTATCATAGGCATTTATTTCGTTACAGAAATACACTCAAAGTAAGAATGGCTTTCCTTGTCAGATATAGAATAGTTTGGTTCAAGGGCTAGGAAAAGTAGTGAAATCGTAAGGATTTACTTAAAAATGTACATCCACACACACACACACGGTTTAAAGTTCATTATTTCGCTCATTATTATAAATACATATGTAAGTATGTATGTATGTAGGTGCATAAGTTCTAGCTAAGCCATTGCAATACTACACGTATGTTAAAGAAATAAAAGCAATTACACATTTGGTGAAATCTCTAACCGTTGATTTGCTGTTACGAATCCCTGTAGCTGCATTTCATACAATAACAACGATTAATACAATGTTTTTCTTTCAATTTCAATTACAGACTGCATCACTAATAATACCATCGGTTGAAAAACAGGACTCTGGCAATTACACTTGCAGCCCCTCCAACAGTGCACCTAAAACTGTTATCATTCACGTGCTCAACGGTAAATTTTATTTTATTCACAGAACTCAACTACTCTGTTGATATCTACTATAAGCAGAATACATACTATTATTTAATACATATATGTGTATGTGCATAGACAATGGGGTGTCCGTTATTTTTAACATGAAATCCGTATAAAATATTAACTCATAGTTTAGTTTTAGGCATTTACGTTAAGCGTATAAAATATAGACTTCAGTAAAAGAGATACGCTCTGGACGACTTATTCGTCTTAGTCAGTGCAGAGTCTCTTATCCTTCTGTAGGTAATGAGCATATTGAGCTGCAAGATATTAAGAGAGACTTCGTGGCCTAATGGATGTAAGGAATACTCGGTGGGCGGTATGCCTTCGCTCCTCCTTGTAGCAAAGGAGCTTTTAATGAAGTTTCAAGATAGACCTTCGAAGAAGCTTACATCGGTGGGTAACTTTAAGTAACTACCCCATAATACGAACTGGGTATATTCCTCCCCGGCTGAGTGGAATGGAGCTAAGGCTAAACGATTACACAGAGCTCTTCATTACATGAAGCAGCCGTGGATGCTCCATATGAACGATACAGTCAAAGAGACAATAATCACCGTTTATTATACACTGAAGCTATATTACAGTAATCAAACCACTCTTGCTTTATTATGCTACGCAGTGGTGAAGAATGGTTAATAGAAGCTCACAGCGAAAATCATTGGATACAATCAGCGGCTCGCTGCACTTCATTTTAAAGGAACTCTATGGACTACTCAACCTGCTGCGAATCGACTTTGAGTTGGAAAACATTCCAGTGAAACTCCTTGTCAGACCGGAGGCTTTAAGTGAATTCCCTGCCAAAACCTTCGAGCAATACTCGATGAGCAAGGAAAGGGTGTGGTTTAAGGCTGCCAGGAGCAGAATACTAATAGCAACTGATCAAAACAGCTGGGGGTGTTGCAGCCGTTTTACCTTAGGCAACCTGACTTGGTTTTAACCATTTACCAAATGGAAGTTTTTGCTATTAGAGTTCACCATCAATGTCCATAGGAGCAGAGAAGCAGTGGCTGCTATGAAACAAATGCAAATCTTTTAAGGTTTAGAAAACAAGTGAATCTAGGAATCCAGATAGTTGGAGAGTTTGCCATAAGTGTCATATGACCCGAACTACATGGGGACAGACTACCATTAAGGAACAAGAGAAGGGACTAATGATTGCGTTAGACCTAACGAAAAGCAGCAACCTAATGAACATGAATGGCCTTGAAGTATTTGGGAAATGTTGATGTCTAGGAACACCTGCTATGTTCTGGCCTTATCTTGAACACCTCTCAGTTGCCTAGAACACAGGATCCCCTAATGCACACGCATACATTCATATCTTTGTATGTATCTTTTACGTACACTTTTTTTCAAATCGCTTTTCTTCACATGTAATCGAATAATATTCATTTGAATCTGTCGGTTAATGTGTAGCCTTGATGCCTTGAATGGGGTGCATCTATGTACATATACGTATGTGTGAGTGTGTGTGTGTGTGTGTATGCTTGAATGCAAGTAAATGTTTGCGTAGTGGAGCGCATTGAATTGGATTGAATTTTTATTTTAATTGAATTTGTTTTCATTCCCGTTGGCTTTTTCATTTAATTTACTTACATACATATATATATATACACATATACCAGTACATATGTATGATGTGCACATTCTCCCGCGCATAACAGCTGTATGTTACATACAAATGTATGAATATAGGATATACGTATGTATATGTACGTATGCATATTTCAACTGTATGAACATTCCACATATTATTTTATATAATATATACATACAAGTACATATTATATGTCTGTATGCATTTAAGTGTGTTCCATATGTTTGTGTCATGGTCTCACGTGTTTGCCTTCGCTGCACGTGCTGTTTGATTGAAACGGGTGTCAGTGCCAGTGGCAGATACATACACGTAGTTACAACAATGAAAATGTAAAATTACCTGTGCATGTACTTATATGCAGAACATGGCATGCCAACGTGTGTTGTTGCAATTTGCCATTGCAATACAGTGCGGACATTCCAAAGTTTATCCGCAAAATTCACATTTAAGAATTTAGAGAAAAATGCAAGGAATTTGAATAGAGAAATAAAATGTTGTATTTCAATAAACGATATTGCAATTTCCATATCTAACTTCACATAACCAAACGGATATCTGGAGGTATTGACTGATTGGCTCCTTCATTATGCAAGAGATTTGGTCATGAATCCATATAAAATATATTTGTAGCATCCATTTCAATTAGTGGTGATGGAACTGATAATTTATGGCTGGTATTTTACTAGAATGAGGCTGATGCCAACCCGAACAGTTCCTTACTTCGCCATAGCGAATATAAATATGTAAATATGAAAACGAATTATATTTATTACGGTTTACTAACAAGGAGCTTTCCATCAAGTGGTGGCGAATTCAATATTTTCATCATCAATAAATTTCGTATGTTGGGGACCAGAAAGTCATTTGTGGCAGCTTCAGGTTTTTATCAACCAATTTCGTTGATTACACAATATTTAATTCATGATATATATATATATATTCGTTGAACTTAAATTTCACTGCCATGGTCGAGTGTCTGGCCATGCTCACCCACTGGACCAAAATCCAAAATTAAGGAAAATTAGCGGACCTAACCAACTTTGTCTCGCTTCTATTAAACGAATGAAACTGCAGTGAGATAATAATTTGAATGTGATTTATGAGAAGAGAGCCCAAAAACTGTTCTCCAAATCTAACAAAGACTTCAAACTGTTCAAAAGGAAATGGGCGTCAAAAAAGTAACTCCACAATCCGATAAGATAACCTTACTTTTCCACGCGAACTTATAGTATAAAAAATTATCGTACCAGTTGCGGATGTGATGCACGATGCTGTATGTGAGTATGAAAAAATTTGTAAAAAAGGTAAAGCAAAGCTTAAAAGCCTTGGCCCAGTGCGAACTGGCTGCGCTTACTTTCCTTGACCTATCTTCCTTTAAATGCTTGTTTGTATCTCGAACGCTTTCAAAACAATCAATCAGCTGGTTCATTAATTGAAGAACAAAACAAAGATGTTGACCAGAAGCAGTTTAAATAGTTTTCAAATTTTTATATTATGAGTTAAATTCGATTTTCGTCCACCTTAATCCCCTTTGTTGACGTTGTAGGAGGACCTAGAGAATTCCAGTGCAGTTTCTTCCCATTTTTCTAGGAAACTGTTATTAGTTCCTGGTCCCTCAAAAGATAAAATAAAACAAAAGTGTTAAATATGTCTGTAATAAATCGAGTAATAAATCGAGTAATAAATCCGGTGCACTTTCCGTAAGCCGAAAAAAATAAATCAGGTTTTACTGGAAAACAACTTTCTGTGCCCCATCGACTGAGTTCTTCCCTTTTGATGAGTTAATGTAAATATTTTTCCATTGGTTAACGATTATTTACAAAATATTATGGAGATTGATTAAAAAAATATTGAATAAAAAATAATTTTTCTAATTGGGATCGCCCCTCTGCAATAGTCTAAAGTTGGATATTGAGTAAAATTAAATAAAAACTGTGCAAACTTTTGTTTGTAAATTGAATTTTTTTGATTTTGAAAACGATTTCTGATTCCCATTCGCATGGGGTTAGTTGCATATTCAAATTGAGAGCTGAGAATTTTATGTTTCGGCGTATTTTGACCACCGCGCGCATCACCAGTTCCATCGAAGCCCTTTGCGAGACTGTCAGTTTTGAAAGGCAGTGTAGTTTTGAAAATGTCCAACATATTATATGTACTTACACACATATACATATATAATATAATTATGCATATTTCAAGTCAATAATGTCCGCAATGTGTCATTGAAAACGTGTTCATTAAATTTATTTAAATATCAAATGTCGTGTAAATAAATATTAAAATTATGTTTTCATTATTAAACAACGTGGATTGCATGAAAAACATACCATCTGCCAACAACAGCAACACCAACAACAACATCGGGATCAAACAAAACATTGTTGACCGTACGCCCACCGCTACACATATCCAATTAAAAATGCATTTTCAGACAAGCGATGAAAAATTAAATAAAATTGCATTACAACACTTTATAAATAAATTAATTTACACAATTTCAGTTAAATATGCCATTAACAGTGACTGCCTGACGAACATAGCACATTTCTCTGCAAATTAAATCAACTGTACTTATATAAATACACGTGTGTGCCGTATGTGCGTGTGTGTATGTTAAGTGGGATATGTGGCGTGCAATATGTCACATTTATGTATGTGCAAGCATTGTCACTTAGCGGCGCTTATCAAGCTGGAGTGAAAACCAAAGCCACTCGTGTGGCGTACCGTGATGATGAGCGCCGGCCGTGAAAGAGCATCAAAGGTTGAACGATGCACGATGAAGTACTCACATTCGTTGATATAGTAAATGCACTTTTTTTCAGTTTAAGCCCGACTATTAACCAAATAGATTATGTAAAAGGTAAAGAAGAAAACTCAAATGGCTATAGAAGAGGTGTGCATTAATAAAATTAATCCTGGAGGCTGCCACTGAAGCTCTGCGCCTTTGAAAATTTATGGCTTACCGGCATAGAGGGCCACACAGTCGAAAATGTGTTGAAAAATTGCTTCGTAAGGTAGAACGAAATAAGCCACAGCAATGCCTCTCCCTGCAGCGATATGAAGTGGAAAATCATTAAAAATATCTACTCGTCTTAATACGCGTACTTTATTATTATATTCAATTTCTTTGAAATTAGCACACATATATATAACGATTAAAGGACGATCATTGTTCGAGTTGCCACACCCGTGTACGCATTGACAATCGTAATCGGAAAGGAAATTACGGCATACGAAAGTAAACGAAACATTATTCTCTATACATAATTATTACTTTCACAATAAATTTTAAGTTCCGCTAGTGATGGGATGATTGTTTTTAGTCACAACAGCTGTAAAACTTTCAAAATTTATTGAACAAATTTAAAGAAAAATAAGTGGAATTCTCCTTTATTACTACGCTTCGGTTACGATAAGGACGAAAATAAGGAAAAAATTCGGCACGTAGAAAATCTGCTCATGTTCTTCACAAGGCAGGGATCCCAGGATCCCCTACCAGTTCACTTTCAGACACACTATGGAGGCTCTTTTTTTGCTTGGTATTTTTTCATCGGCGTAACCATATTTACAAAAGGGTTCCCTGTAGTTCGACCTCGGTTCACCACTAACGATTCAACCAGCTCTCAGCAGTGCGTACTGGTCACAATTTAATAATCATCCATTCGCTTTCCTACCGAACTTAATATGGGGATGTCGTTGCAACGTACCGAGCGGTACGACGTTGTCTTACGTTGACCTAGCGATTTAACTAATTGTTAGTGCCCCTGAATTAGCGATATCGTAATTTATTGAAGTAGATACTGTTGTAAATTTATATTTATTATTTTTATTATTTACGTATTTTAAAAATAAACAAAAAAGAAAATAAAAAACATCCTTGGCAAGCCAATTAAATTGTAGAAAAAAAATTACAGAAACATCTGTGATGGGTTTGAGGGGGGAATGTTGCCTTACCACTAATTAACGATTTGTCTAACGCTTGGTAACGTTAGTCTGCGGTAGTTGCTTGACACCATCAGAACTACTGGAGCTTTAAAGGCTTTTCTATGAGATTCACAGTGTTTACTCGTAATTTTTCTTCATATACGAAAGGCCATGGTTCGAGTCCTGGCCCGACCAATTACATATATATATATATTTTATATATTGAGCTGAGAGAACTCGTATTGGCATTAACGTGATTCAGTGTACCGCTATAATGGCTCAGTTCTCTTTAGTAGCCACAACAACGCCGGGTTTAATCTCTACGCACGCGTTATTTACCAACAGCAACACCAACAAGAGCGCGCCGCAAGCAGTGGTTGCTAGGCCTTTGGGTTGGGCGTTGAGTTCGACATACGTACATATGATTTGTAAACTTTTGCGACATTTATGACTGCAGTTAAAAACAATTTTTAATCCTATTATCGATTCAATGGTTGTTCGCAGTGGCGCTGATAAAAGTCACGCGTGGTAATGCAATAAACGATGGCTCATATTGAATTATAGTCAATGTGATGAAAGAGTTCTCTGAGAAGTTAACATTAAAGGTAAGCACATGTAATTGTTACCGATCACTGGGCGGTTGCGTCATGCTCGTTGGGATATATGGTATAAGTATGTATGAATATGCTTTTACATATGTATATATCCCTGCATATGTATGTAAAATATTGTATGTATGTATTCACGTTCAAGCATCGAGTGAAATCAGCAACGCCCACGCACTTGATTGCCGCAGAGAAAATTTTTGAATTTAATTACCGTTACGACTTTTGCAATTTAATCATTGCGCAAAAACCAACTGACGGAATTGCAAAAACTTGAATTTTTTCAAACACTGAAGCTGAAGGTAAAAAGCACGGAATTCATATCATTTTAACATAAGAGTACATGCGTAACGGTACAAATAACTGCCAGTTTTTCTCTGTACTCATAATGAAAATATGTATATACATATGTATGTATGCACTAAAATGTATCACATACAGAATCACATACAGGGTTAAACAAATTTCAGTTATTCTTTCATTTATTTTTTTTAATTTTTTTCTTTTTTATTAAACTAAAAACGTTAAAAATAATTCGCATGATTTTTTGCAAATGTGTTCCTATAAATTTCACTGTAGAGAGGCAAAAGCTGATGGGCGATGGCAAACTCGAGTCCCCAAAAGATGACCATGGAAAGTATGTTTCATTATCCGACTACGATGATATTCGGATTGTTCACCCGAACAAAGTGGCTGGAGACGATGTTTAACCGGCTGTTTAAACATGGTGGTGAGGAATTGTCGGATAAACCTTCTCTACCTTTCACCTTCAGCTGGCTAAGGTTTTGTCCTGACTTGATGTCTCTAGTTGGCAGCCATCGGTGAAGAGAAAAAACACGCACCCTTTTGATTTATATAATTATTTATGTAAAATAACAAACAAATCTAAAATATAAAAAAAAATTTAAAAAACCGCCATTGCTATTATGTAATTATGTTCTTAGGAATACTCATGAAACAACTGATTTTGCTTTGACTAAATCTGAGCTGATATGTTACATGTCTTGCTAACACTAATCCAGATCGCTATCAATTCTTTCTTTAAAGCAGATATTTTATATAATTTTGTGAAATATTTAACTCATTATTTACATACCATTTTCTATGTGTGCCTTTTACCAAGAAAATTTGATTTTATCTCTTGGTTGTAATTGCAGGCGAGTATTCTGCCTCGGCGATAACTTCCGGTGTCCGTAGTAATATTGAGTTGCTCGATAAATTCAAATGTGGTGGAGCACTATTGTTACTGAGCCTTTGGCAACTTAAATTTACGATAAATCCCAACATAATACGAATTCTCTCAGCAGTGACGTTGATATGGATTTGACTGCAAACTCACTCTGGCAGCAATAGGAGAGCATCAAGTCACAACACGATTGTGAGTGATAGCCAAACGAGCATCGAAAAGTCAAGAGCATTGTACGGGAGGCAGGTGCTTAACTGCAGATGAATTCATCACTACTGACTTGCCGATCATTTATTTAACAGACGCAGCAACTCCTGCTTGACAGCATAGTCATTGTGGAGCGCAATAACAGTACTGGTAACGACGAGCGAAATCAAGAGCGATCATAACTTAAACATCGTATTTAATATTAGATTTTAAGAAGAAACTTACTATTGAGAACAGAGCACAACTTAACTGTATTAATAGATATAAGTTAACCAAGTTGTTGTAATGCGCAATATATAAAGTTTAAGATTTGGCTCTTTTCTGCTCCCAGCATACATTTGTGCATTTTACTCCTAAGATAAACATATTTACTATAGCAATAAAGTATGAAATAAGAATGCAAATTTAGTTACTGATGAAAATTATTCATAAAAAGCAAAATAATTTTATTTTTTATATTTAAGCAAAGCTAAAATTAGGTAAATTTTCAGAAAACTATTTTCTCTGTGCATTAGTTGATTTTGCTAAATTTTGAGTATTGAAAAAGGAACTCACCGTAAGTTCAAGTTCTTATTTGGACTGCGCAAATTCCTCATCATTATATAATTGGCACTTTGTAATCGTTTTTTCGTCCGAAATACACTCGGAGGCAGTTAGAATATTTAACTATATTTTTTATTTAACCGGGATTTGAACTCTAGCCTACCGAATGTCAGTGCCAACCACTCGGCTACCGCGGTCTCATCATTACTGTCCTTATATATGGTGAAGAAGCTAAACAATGTGGACATTCAATGAGTCGGGATTGTGAGTCTTCGTGAGAAAAGTTTTGAGAGAAACTTTGAACCAATGGCGAGTACCGCAGTCGATATAATGATGAGCTGTATGAGATGTATTATGACCGTTCCAATATTCACCGAATCGAAAGACACCCGCTACGCTGACCAGGTAGTGTGGTCCGAAGAGTTTTCGATGCAGTACCCACGCGTAGAAGCAGAGGAAGGGAAAAACCTCCACTCCATTGGAAAAATCAAATGCAGAACGGCCTGACTACACTTAATGTTTGCAATGAGCGTCAAAGACCGAATGGACAGATGAAGCGGCGCACTGCCTTTAGGAGATCGACCAAACTGATCATAAAAAGGAGGAACTTCTCGGTACACTTTCTTAACTGAGCATAAATCTTGTAGGGCGTTTCGTTATTAGTTTGAACCAAATTTAACATTTTTAACAGTGAACTAAAGCTCGAAGCCAGCGGGATCTGTCAAAAACAGTATACTAAGGAGAGTTTCTCAAAAGACGGTCTCCCAATGTGATTTGAGTTTCCACTCTGTGGATCAAATGAATTTTTGTCTTGCCGTCTCCTTTGCCTTTCGATTGACTCTTACGTTTCCTTGAAAATGGTTTTTTGTTTTTGGTGGGATGAAAGAGCGGTAGAAGCTTCAGCAAATTGTATTTATTAGCCTTTGTTTTGTAAATAAACTACCAGAAACAATTTGAGTTGCCACTTGTGGTTTCATAATTTATATAAGTACGAGTATGTATTTAAGATATGTAATTAATAGAAAATTTGTATTTGAATAGAAATAGAAAATATTGAGAAATTTAGTGATGTTACTTAATAAGCCAAAAAGAAAAGATATGTAAATACCTATGCGTGTGTGCTACATAAATTACATATAGATAAGCTAAGCAAACATATTAACTTCAAATATAATAAATATAGAATACATACATACAATTATTTTAAGAGAGTGAATCTGATTTTATTTCTACCAACTGCGACTTTTGAACGCGGCGCTGAACTTTTGTTTCATTTAGACGAACTGAAAAACTCTCGAAATATTTTCCTTTTTATCACAAAACTGGCTCACATTTTGTTTCTATCCAACTTCAAGAAAGCACTTCGATATATGTATGTATTTGAGAGTAACACAGAGAAGGTCAAATCGAGTCGAATTTCGACACAAATTAAATATAAGCAATGAATCTGTCATAAATACAATAATTATGCAATAAAGATAAATGAATATTAGAAAATGTGTGTTCTCTTGATGAGAGGTTAAGGCTTAAATACTTACAGCGCTGAAAGTCAATGAACATTCCAAACTACCGTTTATAATAATTATAAGAGCTTAACAGTTCTAAAGTCACACGGAGAAGTTACGGTCAGCTGAGCTTCAGTACATTGCACAGCAGTGATGGTCGAGCTTTTTGACAATGCTCATATTCAGTCCGGTCCCGCCAAGTTATTTTCATTAACTTTCCGTCGCCGCATTTGAATTGATCTGCGGGCTTTTTGTTGTGTATAATGAACCGAAGTTCATATGACAGAGATCATAAATAAATATGGTCTAACCTGGAAACCCACTAACAGCCACCGTATTTTGAAATGCCATATCGTCTTAGTTCTTTCTGTTATCGATTGGGTCTCTCAGAAGGAAGAAAAGCAAACATTTCTTAGATTTCTTAAGACCAGTCTTTTTTGTGACCCAATAGTTGGTCCGAACCGATACAAGAGCTTCAATTTTTCCGATCCCGTGAGATCGAGGTATTCTCATGAACTTTTATTGTGTTTTAATTTAGTATTACCGACAACAAAGTTTTAGGGCATGGCAAAATGAATAACCCACAGTCCAGTTGTAGAGTTTTCGTGGAATCTGAGATTTTTAATGCTATACTACTTCTTAATCCTTTTGGTAAACACGGTCAAGTGCGACTATGTCAAGGTAGGCGCAGGAAAAAATACTAGATTTTTAATAAGAATTCCACTAGTTTGCACCAACGTCAAATAGCAAACGCATCTCTACTCAGCTGAGCAGGTCGAATATATTTATATGGATGTCGGATGGCCACCGCATTTAGCACAATGGCTTCTCCCGTTACTAAAATGCTCGACGAGGACGCACTAGTGGGACTTATGTGGAGTCCCGCTATTTTTGCTGCACAACCGAAAACAAGACTATAACCCAATGCACCTCACACGTGTTTTTCATATGTATGTAAATATATGTAAAGAAAATGTTGATATTTGCAAAATGATAAATCTTCCCATCCATCTTGCAACGTGTTGCTGAATATGTAATACCACAAATATGCTTGCATGCCCTGATGACGCAGACACATACATATATTTTCTACATCTAATTCTTACTACTGTGTATTATATGTACATATACATACATACACGTATATGCATATGTGAAGAAGATAAATTGGGCACTAGGTTTGGAAAACATTTCAAATATGTTGAAAAGTACATCTGTAACTACGTACACTGTAAGTCTCACACTCAGTGTGCTCCTCAATGCCGGGTGGAAAGTAGCCCATACTCTTACGTACCCCTCACCGCATAAGCAGTTTTGCTACAATGGAAAACTAAATAAATTAAATATTCATTTGAAAACCACAAGCGTTCATTTGCTGGTGCAACGGAGCGTATGAGTGTCGATTTTGGTTACAAGATGTCGAAATACGTACATACGAGTACTTATATGTATGTACGTATATGTCCAGGGAAATGATTCTCACAAAATCTATTTAAACAACTATTAATTATAGAAAAAAGCTAAAAAAAAACTATTGAAGAGCGGCAAATCTCTCGTAAATATTCCTCCTTCAAATGTTTGTTCCTCACCCAGCCGCAGCTTAAAACCCCAACTGAATTAGAAAAGTTTGGAATATTTTTAAGCTTTTGTCTGTACATGCCCTGACATATTGTATATAAGCACACATAAGTATATTTGGTTATCAGTTCAACCCCAAATGGAATATAAAATCCGAGTAGAAAAATCTTCAAAATTCTCTGGAAGTATTTTATGTCAAGCGCGCTGACTGCCAAAAATGATAAATAGATAATAGAGGAAAAAAGAAGAAGGCAACTTACATATTTATACAAATTTATGTAGGTATGTAGTAGGACTGAAAATAGAAGGCGAACATTTTGAGTTGAAAGTGACAACATTGTGACGTGAAAATTGTGTTCAAAATGTTTTTCAAATTTTTTAGTATAGATGCCCAAGGTCATAGCTTCTTCAGCAGTTGCATTGATGCCAACAACAAGTATGTTTATGCACGTACAGCTAAAACCCCTGTCCAACACTCGAGCTCTAACAACCGCAGCAGGTGTGCAGGTAAATAAATTCTCTATTGACAATGTATAAATGTAGATATGGAACATATATGTATGTACAATATGAATTAAATCTCGTATGACTGCAGAGATGCCGTCAGGTGAACGAAATGTTGCTGTTAACTGCAGCTTGTCATATGATTTGTATGTATGTATGTATATATGCATGTATATGGCTACATTATTTTACCATTAAGCAGTTATCTATATGGCGTACAATTCTATAAGTAGTACTTGTATATGTGGTTGTATGTATGAGAATGTAAAGAATCGCCTTGAACTTGATTCCTCTCCCCTAACGAAAATTCAACCAAATTTCAACCAAATTGCACTTTCAAGTTGGATTTTTTGTATTTTATAACGTCAATTGTTTGTCGCTTTGGATGTTGAGTGAGCAAAGTTTGGTGCTTCTATCAGCGTGCTGCTCGCTGCAAAGGTCATCAGTTATTATGCTCTGTGTACTGCCACATCGCTGTGTTGTTGTACGTGTATGTGTATGGAACTCAAGTGATTTTTTGTTCTTATCAAATTTGAGTTTGAGCTTACAGACTTGCACAAACTTATTTTTGACATTTTGCCATCTGTGGATGTGTGTGTGTGCATTGTATATCAATAGTTCATTACAAGTAAGAACGAACTTTGAAAGCAGACAGCTGCAACAGCAAAGTACCAAAGTACCAAAGTATGAACTTCCTTTCGTTCATTATATTTGATTTTGCTTAGTTATGTGTGTTTGCAGTTGCCTGCTGATTATATCAGTAGTCATTTGTCAACTTTTATTTTTATTCTTAGATTTCGATCAACTTCTAAGTCTACCATTCCTTCAGTCATCAACGAAATTTTAGCCAACTTAGTCTGCTGATTAATCATTTATGTAAATACTAGCTGACCGGCCATACATTGTAGGTGATTTCTGTATTTTGCTAAACTTTTATTGTAATTGGTTTTGTAAAGAACAATGAAAAGCTCTAAACATCTAAGCACCGTCTGATTCAAAGTATTAAATACTTTGTTGTATTATTGAGTTATCTTCTTCTTCGAATGCCTCGAAGCTAAACAAATGCACCATTCGATTCTAAGCGTTTTCACAAACCCAAGTTGGGCGTATTAGAATAGCTTGTAACCTGGACATACTCGTATCTACGCATGATCTATGCGCATATCCAAATAATTCTAGTTTTTGTCAATCTGCCGGTGCTCCCTTTTCGGTGAGAAAAGTATTATTTATTTTTCGGACAAATAAAATTTAGTTCCCCGGTCCAATTCCACGAAAATAAAATACTGCCTCTAGGCATATTATTTTCCAATTTCTATAAAAAAAAGAATTTTGAACAAAAAGACATCTTTGTCTATTTCACCGAGGACTTTCTGCTAATCTAAGCAAAATATCACCTGTATTTCCCGAAATATTATTCCGATAAACTTTCCGGTAACGATAGAAACAAAATTTCAAGTCAATCGCTCAGTAACTTTTTGAGATAACCGGATCTTGACAATCGAATGTAATAATTGACCTATGCTGATCAAACCAAAAAATCCATAGTATTATACCCACATTGGTACCAAGATTTCCTAACGGGTCTCTCTATACCCTTCTGGTGCCGATTCAATTTACTTATCATCCCATGGTCTGGTTAGTGAAGGCTAAGTACCTGCCAAATATGAATAACTTTGGAACCACTCATTTTATATTGAAAAAACTTAAACTTAGAATTGTGCGCGAAATACCCATTAATTAGTTATCATTTAGATCCAACTTGTAATGAACTAACTTCCAAAATAAACAACAACCAGTTGTCAACATAAACTTAACCTTTTCACAGTCCCTTTTTGTGCAGTGTTTTATTAGATGAATTTGTTTAAACCTCTTTTTTTTCTCACGTACAGTAGAGTCGCGGAAAAGTTAACTCACGAAAAAGTGAAACGCTCGGTTAAGCTAATCGAATAAAAACGCCCACGTAAGGTTCTGAACAGTAAACTTTGTAGTTTTCTTTTCCAAGCATGTGAGTTTTTCAAAATGTTCCGATTGAAAATGTTTTGAAGTGACGACGATTCGTTGATCCTTAAATGAGTGTGGTACGAATTACCGCAATCTGCTCTTATAAGCCCGTGGACATCGGTATTGATCATATTGGAAATTGGAGAAGGGATCAAATTACGGAAGATGACGAAGGTTCAGAAGAATCTGTTAGTGATTGTACCGAGCAAGACACTCAACCATCAAAGATGAGTTCCCCGGAAGCAGTATTGATAAAATAGAATTGGAAACAATAAGCATACAAATGAAGTGATAGAAATGGTCAAAATGCGCGCAAAAATGATACTGAAAAAAAAGAAAAAAAAGAAAAAAAAGAAAAAAAAACAAGTAAGCAAGTCTCGATTATTTCTTCAAACCATCCAGTACAAATTAAATAAAGATCATTTTTCCAATGAGAAAAGCTAAGTCATTAAATAAATTCCTGAAACACATATTTATTTTTGTATTACTTTCTATTTCGAAAACCGCCTGGAGATGTAAATTATTCGAAAAAGTAACTTACCCTTGGGACATTACGGTTAACTTTTTCGAGATGCTACTGTATTTTGCCTCAATAGTAAGCTTCTAGCGAAGCAAAGTGGAATATATTAGCAAAAAGTAGAGAAAGTGTTGACGCTGCGCAAGAGACAACACGAAATGTTTAAAACAACTACAATAAATAATCGGCCAACGACAGATTGCAACAGCTGTTCAAAGGAAAGAACAACTTTTTAATGCTAATAAAGATGAAGTTAACAGCAACAGTATGCCAAGCACGTTTTCCACGGTAAAACATTCGCCTCTCTCTCTCTCTCCTCATGTACACTACAACTACCAGTGCAAAGGAGTTTTTAAATTTATTACATTTTTAAGGACTTTAAATTTGGGTTTCGTCTTTCCTGAAATCATCATATTCCAATAAGCAGTCGGTGAACAATGTGTGCTAATATTATGACATTATGAATTATTGCTTTAAGTTAATAAAAAAATATATATTTATTTGCTAAGTTTACTGTTGATATTAAAAGCATAAATTCAAGTGGCAGCAACAGTTGTCTTGAGGGCCAAGAAAATATTAAAATTAATTTTTTTGCTTTGCATTTGGCTGAGACTTGATGATGAATCGGTTGCTTTGTATATACATACGTGTATGTACATATGTGCATTTGTAAATACATACATCCATATCTGAATTCCATATTAACAATAAAAAATGTTGATTTCCTCGATTACATGAGTTAATTCAAACTTAAACTAACAGTAATTCACTTGAAATTTATAGAAAAAAGGGTGGAACAATTTTGAGATTGTCAAAAACAGACGTTAAATTAGGTTGGTTTGAATTTCAACGAGTCTCACTTAGACAAATGTACTGACTGCAGGTCCTACAGCAAACCCTGAGGCAAAGAAAAGAGTATCATGATCATCATGAAGTTGGACCAGGAAAATATTTATTTCTCAAGGAAATCTATTAAGCCACTCCTGGATCGGATGGCAACTGGAAAATTGGATCAACAATTGGAACAGCAACCTGAATTTATAGTAAATGAATATTTCATTTGCATATCTTGCTTTTCAAACTAATGACAATTTTAATAAGTGAAAATTAAGTCAAAATTTGTTTGACATTTTTGAATTAATTTGCTCGGAAACAGGTAAGAAAATGTGTCCATATACAATAGAATAACTGTTATTTGCAGAACCGAAGCACCTTCCATGTATGTATGTATATTCGAACCAAATGTATTTCAAATCGAGAAGCAGTTTGTTTCCGAAATGGGCTGCGAACGGATCTTTTAAGGCGATCAACATTTCAAAGGCACTGGACATAGAGATTTGATTACAACAACTATAACATGAATGAAATTTATGAATTTTAATTGCATAGTTTTTGTGTTCCTAGCGCATTTTTGATTTTTTAGTTGTTTTTTGATTTACCAAGTCCATTTTTTTTTGGATAATTTTCAAATATACTTCTTGTTGATTTTTGCCAGTTTTAGCTGGAAGTTAAGTCATCTTTTGAATATCAGCTTAATAGCAAACTAGAAGCTTTCTCAAGCGATGACGAATGCTGTCCGCAGTTCACTTAAAGTTAGCTCATAGTCATAAGAAATAAACTTGCAATACAAGTTAACAGTGGAAAATTTTTGCCTACTTTTAGGCTTGGCTTGTGAAGTTATAAAACGAAACAAATATTTGCAGTTTCAGGAACAACAAAAGGGTTTTACTTATGGATTATTTCTGACAAGCTGCTTAAGGTAATTACAACAACTTCAAACTTTAATTTTAAGTTCGTTTGTTTAAACTTCATTGGCCAATATTATCGAAATCAATATGGAAAATGCAAGGCAAAATATTTGTTAACATAAAAAAATTATATATGTATGTATGTATGCACGAGGTGTGATCAGAAAATATCCGTTATTTTCAAATTTCGTGATTTTCGTATGTTCAATTTTCGCTTTTTTTCTGTGATTTTGGTACATATGTATTGTATTTATGTTATATATGTTGGTGATATCAGCCATTTGGGGTTGTCAGTTAGTTTATGACAGATAAAAAGGTCGGTCGTGTTTTGGTGTGTTCTTCGATTTTGTACTATTCGAAGAAAGGGATGAAATAAAATAAAGTTCTATGTAAAAAATAATATTAAATCCGCAAGGAGATTTGAAATTTTGACTATGGCGTAAGTCTACTGTGGGCAGAACACAAGTTCAATTGTGGTAAAACCGTTTTAAGGAAGGTCGAGAAGAAGCCAGTGACAATGCTCGTCCTGCACCGATGAAAACATTGTAGCAGTGAAGAAAATGAATTTGGCTAATCATCGCATCACAATCAGAGATGTTGCTGACGATGTTGGCACATCGTTCAGTTCATGTCAATCAATGTTTACGGATGTTTTAGGCATGAAACGTGCGACAGCGAAGATTGTTCCAAAATTGCAAATTTTTCTACAAAAACAACGTCGCGCATGGACATCGCTCAGGAGACGACGACCCAGATTACCCCAAAAAAGTCGTAACTGGTGTCGAATCATGGGTGTATGGCTAAGCTTTTGATAAGCTGAAGACACTGATGAAAGGAAAATCGTTTCGCTAAAACTGAGGAGATAATAGAAAAATCGAAACAGGAGCTGTTGACGATACCAAAAAGCGCGTCTCAGAATTGTTTCGATGATGGGAAAAAAACTCTGTCATAAGTGTTTTATATCTGTACTTTTGGAAAATAGTGATCACTCCTAAATGTATATATGTATGTATAGAGAACAGAATTGATAAGCTTTTTAAGCTTATATTTTTTCTACGTTACGACATTTCTTGTTTGCTTTATAAGTATACTGACCCTATTTCATGTGTCAATAATTTATTTCACCGCTTTGTGACTTTTTTTTAATAAGATAATCAAATTCGTGTAAAACTATTTCTTCCTTACACTGTTCGAGTTTCAGTGAGCGATCATTGCCAAGAAGTCACTTCTACTACCTTAACTTTCGATCGGGTCTAAGCCTACTCATGGGACATCCCATTTCTTTGTAGTTTTGATTGCCTCATGTTTCAGAACAAAATGACCTTCGGCCCAATCTTTAGCCATAAATTGCCTAGTGGTGGACCAAGCACATCCAACGAGGATCTTTAATGAGTTTTTCAATTGAAAGTTTGTTAGTTTATTTGTTACACAATCAAGATAGTCGAAAAAGTCGACTGTTACGCCTTCGGGATGGGAAGTGCCTCACATGCTTTTAATCATACATACACACATCAATATTGTTTCGGACAGCAATTAATCAATTCAAGCCAAAATATTTGTTTCAGTTGAACGGTGGCCACCGTTTTTTATTTGAGCTTTGATACCTCAGTGAGACTCTGGATATATCCAATGTTCAGTTTCCTGAGCAAAACACTGCTCTTTCATCTTAAGTTGCTATCTGGTTGCCAAAAGATATTAATTAAAGGAGTGGTCTTGTGGTCCATAGTGCGGCGGCAGGAGAGAATACAAATGTCTTCTCCAATAGAATCTTCTCTCCTCTCTTTTAGTTTGAGTTTACAAATTGAATTTTTTCGCTTTCTTACACTCTTCCTAGCTCTCTATTTTGATTTTGCAGTGAACTGAGTTACATACTCGTATATACATATTTACAAAAGCGGCTACGACTTCTAAACTGGCATTTGCAAGCGCTTTTTCACCACGCATGCGCCGCTTCCTCTAAAGCGGTTGTAAAAGTTGCGCGCTACGAGTTATACCACATTTGTTGTCTTTGCTTCATAGACAACAACAACGCCATCAACAACAGTAACAATACCTGCAATAATTTCTGTTGCAACTTGTTGCTGTAGAAATTTCTTCGCCAACACTCAGTCAGCGCTCTGTTCAAAGCGTTGGAATGTGGGTCAGGCTATATAAGCCCAAGTTCAAGGCGATCGCAGTTTCAGACGAAAGAAATCGCTCACAGCGATAGCACGAAAACGCAAACACCGGAGAAAGCATAAAACTTGCAACGAATTTGTAGTGAACTGTTCAAAGTAAGCAAAGTGGCATAATTTGAAGAAGCTCTCAACTCGTTAAGCAGAATATTGTATCGATCGTCGAATACTACGAACATTAAGAACGGTGCAGTGTGAATGAAAGCACAAATTTAATTTGAAATAAAAAACAGTGCAGACAATTTAGTTGTTCTATATTTGATTTTCCGCTTTGTGATTAGTCAATTCGAAGTTTTCTCTTAGAGAGTGCACGAGTGTGACGGAAGATTCTAAATTGCAAGCAGCGAATTCATTAAGGCAACCGTAATTAGAGCTCGTAGTTACGGTAAATCGTAATTGCATAGTCCAGTAACACACAAGCACGACGAACGAGGTGCAGCAAACGAAGTGTCCAAAGAACAAGCTACGAATTTGTACCACTTACCCAGCGAAGAACGCATCAACTTCTCGAGTCAGGTGAGTTCTTATTGGCGTTGAGTTAAAGTTGTTGCAATTTTTCAAAGAGAAAAATATCATACAAAGAATGATCCAATTCGAGTCGTTGATTTACTAGGCTCGTAACAAAAGATGGCTTTTACCCAAAGCCATCTGAGCCAGAGGCATCTGACGCTGCACAGGGGCCAATCGCTACAGACCAGATAACTAAATATCTGATTTGATTGCAAAAATGAATAAAGAACTAAAAAGATGTTGGATTCCGGTGTGGAAAAATAAAAGCTTTTCCAATCGTCCATAATTGGAAAATCTATTAACACTCGAGTCACTAAGAAGAGTTGGCTTAATTACCTCTTGTGTAAAAATCCAATGTTTGAAGAAGCCTTGGTTTTTAAAAACCCAAAAATGGTTTCACTTATTTATGATTATTTCAGTCATCTCAGTTGGCTTAGTCAGTCGTGGGTGGTGTATTTATGACATATAATAAAAGCTCCTCATAGAAATCCTTCGGCCATTCGAAGGCGGCTTCGCAAAAAATGTAAATCCCTCCATTTGTTGGAAAAGCATCTTCTCTCTTCGAACGGCAGTCTGCACCGTAAACTTCACATAATTTCTTGATGGTCCATTCTACCCTTCATTTTAAGATCACCAGGTTTTTGTTAACGAGGCTCAGTTTCCTATTGCAGATTGCCTGCGGTCTAATCTTTAAAATTTATATATAGAAAAGTCTTTGTTCTTAACTACTCCGTTTGAGATACAGCTGTCAGACATGTTTTCTCCAAAAGTTCGTTTTCAAACCATGTCCATGTTGAGAAATAGCTGTAAAATCAGTCCCAACTGTTATAGTAATATCTGTCGTGAATTCCGGAATAATAGAATAAGTGTGTCGGAGTTTATAAAATGGGTGCAAATGATTACTTTGTTTTCCCTTTGGACATCCGCGACAAGTGCTGGGTCTCTCATATGGAGTCCAAAACACGTGTGGTTGCCGATCGCAAAGACTGATGAGCGAATGAGGAAAACCTCAACTACCAAATATAAATGATGCGAATCTTCAAATCATCAAGATGATTATTATTTTCGTGCAGTTTATATGTTCACATGAATTAATTTAATAAACTGGTCGAAATGGTTTTAGCCTAACTCGCCATCTGTTACTCGACCAGTCATGTACTCCAGCGATGCATGAGCTACTTTATGTACACAAAATAGTCACAGGAAGACTCATTTCATTAAACAGCTACCTTGGCCTCAAGAAAATTGATAAGGAATCCAAACTTAAAACTTGAAAAATTCGTCGGTTGAAAATTCCTGGAATTCATTACTTTGGATTTTGGTAAATTTTCTGGGTAACAAATGCGGTGTAAGGATATTTAACTGGTAAAGGTAAACTTTTTCTGCAGCCATTTGGATCGTTTTTCCGAAAATCTTGGTGGTCTGAGTGATTAATAGAGGGCATGGTTGCATCCAGGCATTCCAACTTAGAGCTCTCGTGAACCAGTCGGTATACTTACAAATCGCGCTTCAAATTTAACTCGAAAACTAAAGCTGGAACAAAAACAATCTGGCTTCAGATCTGAGACCAGCTCCACGACGAAGTATAAAATTAGTCATGATATTCCCTGTAATGGCGCATTGGATTGTTAAGGGCGCACTTTACGCTTTTCATTTTTGGGTGTAAAATAAAAATAGTTTCTTTTTGTTATTTTATTTTTCTGTTAAAGCAATTCATTAACACAATTGGCTATATATTTTGGGTCAAAATTAGAAAGTAATTTATTTGCACCAATTACGGTAAATGCTCGGAAAAATTCAAATTAAAATGAACAGTGGAAGAACCAACTAACAATTTAGTCAAATAAAGCGTAAAGAATATTAAAATCAATATTCGGCGCGAAAGTTGGGCGCAATCAAATGAATTAAGACTAATTCACACCCGAATACTCACGCACGCTCACGTTTTCATGCTTACGCGCAACTTTACATAAATACCAAAGCAGGCAACGAACACTCGAAAACGTACACAGGCAATGTAGGTCAAAACGTCAGTCATAACAGAACCTGTAGAAATCAGTTGATGTGAGAAAAGACAAATAATAATAATAATAACAGCAGCAACAACAACAATGGCCTAAGTATACAAACGACACAAACCAGTTGGGCGCTGAACATGGGGAAATGCGAACAAGAAGTTGTCTAAAATGCTTTAAACAGTGTGCGCCAGTGTGCACCAGTGTGTATATGTGTGTGTGCGTGCTAAGTGGTTGTAGCTCGACTGGAAAGCGAGTCAAAAAGTGGTAATGCACAAACATAAAAACATACTGATAATTGAAGCAACTGTATTTGCATACCAATTTGAGGAATCCCATTTGCGGAAGTTAAATACTGACCTGGTCGAAACTAATCACGCGAGGAACTAGCGGTGTAAGAGGATAATTTAAGAATAAGACAAAGAAGTTGAGAGAAGTTAAGAGAAGAATTAAAGTAAACATTTGTGGTGAAAACTTCACAATTTATTTAGCTGCTGCATTGCCCTCATGCGCAAATATAATTCAAATTCATTGAGGTGCAGCAATCACACACACACACACATACATATGTACTTGCATAGATGGAAGCTTAAGGCAACAATACCGCAAAAGCTACCAATTCATGCCACTAACCCAATTTGTAAAGCCAATTTATTTTTTGTTTTTGTTTTTATTATTCTCAGATGTGTCTATTTCACATATTTTTCTGAAATTTTTTGTTGCTTTTTTTTATTTATGTATTTATATATATACATGATACATATGTACATATATGAATTTTCAGACATACTCTTACTCATACGAGTATGTCTGCTAACCAAATATCGTTGCGTGCTTTTATTCATACCTATGTACATACATACATATGTATGTACATATATGAATATAAAAAAACTTTCTCAGAAAAAATTTCACTTTCATGAGATGAGAGATGTGCACACGCATTCTTGGGTTTTTGGATTTGGTTGTTGAGCTGCTGATTTGCTGTTTGAAATTCATTCAAAATGTGTATTCGCCAAATGAAACAATAAATACGCAATTGTTTTTGCTTTTAGCGTGGGGATTGCCAAAAGCATGGCGAACGCATAGTTGTGCAGGTTTTGAGTTTGTTAAAGCAGAGTTTCAAAAATGAGTTTTATGTATTTTAATGGGAAACTGTTAGTTAAACCAAAAATTTTTATTATAGAAGATTGAAAGATTTAAGTTATTCTTTCACATTAGTTTCAACATTAACATGAGTATATGTACATATGTAAGCACAAGCATTCCATTTCCACAATTCCATAAAATTTCTCTGTAATTATTGTTGTGGTTTTGTCATATCATTTGGCTTGATTGGCTGGCAATTGGTGTTCACTTTGGTGGAGAAAGTTTCACCGCTGACACATTCTGCTTTTGTTACGAAAATTTATAAATAGTGAACTTGCGCACACACACAGAAATATTTATATAACAACAATAAATTAATATTATTTTTCATACGAGGCATAGCCAGAAAGTCACTGCATTGAGTTCTTGTAGATTTAAAATATTTTTAACTAGACAAAAAAACTATAGAATATATTAGTAAATAAAGCAAGCTCCCTTTCGACGGGCAGTGAAGTGGGGCATAGATTCGGTGATGCCTTTCCTGATATGGTTTCCCGCCAACCCCATCCTTTATCCACACATGTGCAGCTTCTAAGTGGTAAAGAGATAATAATCTGAAAGTTCTATATCAGAGAAATGTATGGAATAATTCAGACCATCCCATTACAATGAGGCGGGCAGTCCTTTCATGGCGTTTGCCGGATTGACATTGTCCACGAAACGTGTGTGCCTTAGTTCTCGATATACTGAGCTCGAATCGGTTTCGCTTCAAAGGGAACTGTCTGAATACACTACGAAAATAAAAGCCTTCCGCCCGGGACAGCCTTACTACACATTCTAGATATGCCTGGCACGCATACATATAATTAGCGCTGAAGCCGATCTCCACTTCGAATTTGTGGTGGTTTCTTTAATGTTTTCCCAACAAATGGAGCGGCATGCAGTTTATTCTAAGCATGATTAGGCATGAAAACTGAACAATTTACTAAGGTATTAAATTCATATGATTAAAATATTTAAAAAGAAGTTTAAAACAGTGAAAAAAGAATATTGTTTATCTTCAAACCATCAAATGGTGAACTCTGATATCCAATATATCGCTTGTTATCCACAGTCACATATTTCATGACATCCACATTTTCGTTTCTGACCTTATGTAAATGTACCTTCCCCTGTTTGAATAATTTTATTTAGAAGACCGTATAACTATTGCATTCATTTAGGTTACATTTAAGCTCCCTTAATTATAACAAAAATATTATTTTTTTAATTGCGCTCGCCCCTCCGCAAGGAATGTCAAGCCATGAAATAAAGCTTCTCATAAAAATGTTTCGGCCCTTTTGAGACGGCTTAGAATAAACTATAGCTCCCTCTATCTGTTGGAAATACGATTCAGGGGCGCTCATTATATTATATATTAAATATGTGTATATGTGATAAACATTCCACAAAAGTCTTCTAACAAGCTCGACAGTTTCTTTTGTATGTGCGGATGGACTATTTAGACTACTTTGGATTTCCAAAATTTAAGGAGACATTTTAAATATTGCGCTGTGCAAAGTGTGCGAGACCTCAAAGTTGGTCTAAAAAAAGTTAGACATTGCCAATTTGCTTTATAAATAATTTGCTCGACTCTACCAAAAAGTAATACAACCAAGTTCAAATATATTATCAAAAAGACCCATCCCACAAATTCTCGATCTGCCGCTGTCAAATCCTGCAAATCAATCAGAAATGCCAGATTCTATTGAATATTTTGTCCTAAGTCAATGTGTTACGATATCTCAATATAGAAACCGAACTTTCGAGCCTCGACCGATGGTTGGAACTCAACTTTAAGGTCGAGGAGTAGCTGTAGCCCCATCTATGCTTATACCCAAATCATATTAATTTTAGTTAATA